CTACGTCCACTATGCATTTTTAATGCGATGGAGTTCTCGAGTCAGTCGCCATCAACGTTTGCGAAACTTGCTCTTCTTCCACAAGTCACTAGGGTTTGCGACATGTGCAGCAAATGCTGCATTCTTCTCACACACCAATGCGCCAATCATCGCATGGTTACCATCAAACCAATCAGGCCAGTTGCAGTTTGCGCGCCCGACGGTCTCCTCGGCAGCAGCTGTCACCTGGTCGCGAATGTGGTGTCACAGGTCGCCCACTGTGGCTATGCAGTCCACATCACACAGGTGTGCAGCCATCACCTTCTCCAGCTCAGTACGTTTCTCCACAGTACCGAGAGAGAGAATGTTAAATTTACGCCGGTTCATAGCGGGAGTGCAACACATAGATTTACGAAAATATATGTACAGTTTGGTCCGCACCCATTTGTGATCAGTGCCACACTCAGCTCCACGCAGTACATGTGGCATGCGCACTTCATGCATATCACGCTGATGTGCGATGACATAGTCGAGCAGGTGAGCGGGACGACTCCGTGGGTGCGTCTAGGTTGTTATATCACTCGCACTCAGTGCAAACCGAGTGTTCGTGATCGTTAGTCTGTGAGTGGCACACAGTGAGAGCGGCCTGTCACCGTTCGCATTCGCTGAACCGATTGCATTCGGACCGTCATCGTCATTAGATGTAGGTGATCAAACATACTTGCAAACAAACAAACTGACCAACACTTTATATGCGAGGCATAGTTATCATCCCTATCCCTAGGGCGGTCTAATGCTGACCGAGAATTGTTTCTGAACACAAAGCAACGGCTTTCTCCGGTATGATATTGCCAAAGGGGCTAGAAAATGTCATCTCTAGCACGTTCACATCATTTGCTTTCACGGTCCACTTTTAGGCTTATCTGCAATTCCTGACCGCAACGATTGGCGTCTACCTGGACTGAGCAGCATTGTCCATCATCGACAAGAAGACAACGGAAATCCGGTACTACGATGTAGCACGGGCAATTCCATGTCCATATTATCGACCTACTGCCTCAGGTTAAAATTATAATTCAAATCATTCAAACTAAACAACAAACCTTGCTAGCGGTAACGTTCAAACAATATAGCGAAGATCGTACTGAAACTGAATTCCTCATTTAGAACTACGTAACAAAATGCAGAGAATGTGTCTACTCTCATGACGTGAATTACTTTATCCGAATACGGCTGAAGGTGCCCTAAAGCCGACGGCACTCGTTGCTTTCCGTGCAACCCTTCAACCAACAGTCTGAATTGACATTGTCACGAAACCGGCAGCGCGTTTATCTTCGGTTATTTCTGTTTCGTGACTGCTCCATCTGACGCTCTTACATTGTTGTCCGTTACTCTTGTGTTGTTATTATTTACGTTATTGTTATCATTGTATCTCGGTATACGCGCTAGCTGTACTCGAAAATTGGTTCCTATCACCAATGCGGCCTACACTCGAATAACGTAACCCAAGCAACACAAGACAATGTACTGCTTAAAAGCGAACACAAACTTGACATCTACCAATGAACTCCTAAGAACAAAGGCCCTATCTTGCATGTACACAAACGCCCAAGGCCTTCTAAGCAAGTTGGCAGAACTTAGAGAACTCCATGCCTCACAACCGCGGGACCTCGTCATGATTACAGTGACATGGTTAAACCCTGAGATAACCGATTCTGAGATCCATTTACCCGGTATGTCACTGCTTCGGACCGATAGAACCGGAAGGGGGGGCGGTGTGATTCTTTATTATAATACAAACCTCCGATGTGAGGTTATCGACCACCCGGAAATCCGAGCTCCCGATTCGCTTTGGTGCCGCCTATGGTTGCGAAACAAGGACACATGCCTACTAGCCGGGATTTATCGCCCACCAAACTCAACTTCGGAAATGGACTCCAAACTGAACCACGTTTTCCAGTTTGCTTTGAACAAGTCCTACACTCACATTCTTATCGCGGGAGACTTTAACGTGCATGACATAGAAACGCCAGCAACCGACGGTATGCAGTTTAAAGTCTGCTTGCAAGAGCTTATTGCTAGCCACCCTCTGTACAACCACGTAACCTCCCCCACCAGATTTCGAACTGCTAACAAGCCGTCGATACTGGATCTTGTGCTCACTAACGAAGAACTCATGGTTAGCGGGATAATTACAAGCACACCACTGGGTCGTAGTGATCATGTTACTCTACTCTTTGATTATATTTGCCATGCGGAGTACCCTGAAAAGGAGGAGGATAAAGTGCATACTGTCACACACTACAATGTGTTGTCTAAGCTTGTTAAGGATACATCTTGGACTTTCTTAACCGAATGCCCACCAGCTGTTGCCTGGGAAACATTTACAAGGACGTTTAGTACACTGGTAGCGCACGCATCAGAGCAGAAGTCCTTCCACCCTAAAAACAAGCGTAATTCATTTCTGAGGAGCAGGACACGTAAATGTATGTCCCGGAGGGATTTGGCATGGCGAGATCACCAGGACTGCCCGAATGCCGAAACCTGGACTGCATACGTGACCCATCGTAACTTCTGTGTGAAGCTGATCCGCGAAGACAAGGTCACTCATCAGCAGAAGTTAATGGAGCGATTCTGCACGAATCGCAAACTCCTGTACAGGCACGTTAACGGCCTTCGAAAGGTAAAGCGAGGGGTTTCAGCACTAGTCACGGCTGATGAGTGCACGCGATCAGCAATGGAAGCAGCTGATCTACGGCTTCATTACTCCCGAACTTTCCAGGAGGCAACGAGCACAAACATTCCCCTCATTCCTACTACTCCACCATCTGGCTTAGAAAACATCACCTTCACTGCGGAAGCTGTGTTGAAGAAGTTGTTATGCTTGCGTATCCACAGTTCTCCCGGAGCTGACAACATCCGACCAAAGGCTCTCCAGGCAGTGGCTAGTGATCTAGCAGCACCACTGGCTATTTTCTATCAGCGATGTCTAGAGGAGAACCGTATTCCACCAGTATGGAAGCGAGGGGTCATCACTCCTATTCATAAAGGAGGTAGCCGCACTGATCCTGCCAACTACCGTCCAATAACACTACTTCCCGTACTATCCAAAGTGATGGAATCAATCGTCGCAGATGCGCTGATGGAATACCTGGAAAGCCACAATTTAATAGCCCCAGAGCAACATGGCTTTCGTCAAAAGCATTCGTGTAATACCAACCTATTAATTGCACGTAATAGCTGGACTGAAGCTGTTGATGATGGAGTAGGAGTCGATGTCATCTACCTAGACTTTTCAAAAGCATTTGATCGCTTAAACCATCGCATTCTCCTTCACAAGCTTCGGAATTACGGCATTGGCGACCGAATCCTGAGTTGGATTGACAATTTTCTACAAGAACGAAGGTTAGTGGTGAGAGTCCGAGAATCATTGTCTGATGCAATCGATGTGGCGTGCGGAGTACCACAAGGCTCGGTTCTTGGACCTCGTCTATTCTTGGTGTTCATTAACGATTTGGCGAGATCAATCACTTCCGATTTCCTATTTTTCGCTGATGATATCAAGATATGGCGAAGGATCAGAGGACCGGAAGACCATGAACGACTCCAGTGCGATCTTAACACAGTGTCGAACTGGTCACTTCAAAACGCCCTACCGTTCAATGTAGACAAATGTCGCGTCGTACAATTACGCCATCGTCATAACTATACCTATTCACTTGGGACCAAAGGACTGCAGAATAGCTCCCAGGAACGTGACCTAGGTGTGATCGTACAGAGCGACCTCAACTGTTCAAAACAGGCTGAGGTTGCTGCGAAAAGAGGCAACCAGCATGTCGGCATGTTGCGAAGAGCATTCGGAAGATTTGACCCATCAATCTTCCCAATGATGCACAATTCCTACGTGCGCCCGCATGTTGAATACGCTATCCAAGCTTGGCAACCTTGGTTGAAGCGGGACCTAGAAGCGATAGAGGCACCACAACGGAGAGCAACAAAAAATGTGAAGGGCCTGCACTATCACTCTTACCACCGAAGGCTGAAGCTGCTGGGAATTTTCAGCGGGCGCTATCGAAGACTGCGCGGTGATCTCATATTAGCGTATCAAATATTGAGTGACCCCAACCACGTATGCCGCCATTTGCTGAAACTTAGCCACAACACGCAGCTCAGGGGTAACTGCTTAAAGTTGAAGGAACAATATAGCCGTCTAGAGTGTCGACGGAATTACTTTTCCCTTCGGGTTTGTAAACCTTGGAACGCACTCCCAGACTCAGTTGTATCCTCTCCTACCTTGGAGGTTTTCAAAAAACGATTAGATGTTGCTTTTAGCTCCCAACATTTTGTTACCTAAACTCCCCTACTGTGGATTACGCCAAGGATGCATTACAACAGGATTTATGTATCAAACGGATCTAAGTGAGCGACCATATTTTACTTTGCTCACTCTTTACCTCAATTATCACTGCACCCCAGTGTCTTTTTGAACGTTTACGCTCGATAATTTATTTTAATTTTACACTGATGTTACTTATCAAACTATTCATCTCGGCAGACGTTCGGTAGATGACCCAGACATATTTTGATTTCATCATATTCACCTCAACCATCCTACGGGACGTGTCAAGCACTTGCTTTTATCCCGTGATAAATCATTGTTCATTGTTCATGTTGGCTCTGCTAGCCATCATCCAATAAACACTCATCCAGATTGCGTATGTTTGTTGGGTGGGGGCGAGAGAACTAGCGGAGAGCACATACAACAGTTATTAGCGTCCACGACTTGGTTCCTGGTCGCTAAACCCGTCGCTCTTCGGTTTCTGGTGTTTCAATTAACCGGAAAGTAAGCCAAAGACAATTAATTGCATATTTCGAGCCATCTCGCACGATGATATATGTCTGTCTTCTTGAACCTCTCCGATGACGCACGTTTTTGTACCGTTTATCACCACCCTGACTTTATTTTTTTTAGTTACACGAGCCGCTCTTACTCCCTGCAGTTTGTTTTTTATCATTCCTAGCCTGAAAACATTCTTCTTAGGCGCCCTTTCCCTGACTGCGACACCATGCTTTGTGACTTCGGCCTATCCAAGTTCTTGGACGACGGGAATCTGATCCGTGGTCTGGTTGGAACTCCCGACTATGCAGGTAATTCCGAGATGTTTTTCATGAAACCAAGACCAAATTTTCCCACTTTTCTTTATATGCTTAATCATTGTCATTGTTCCCCCCATCTACCCGCTCTTTTATCCCTGCATCATTGGCACGATCCGGGTCAGATTTCGTTCGCAATTTACTGCGCCATACCAGACTCTATGTTCTGTTACACATTTTACTCACTCTCATCTAGACGTTGATTAGCATCTGCTTCTTGTCGAAAGATTATTGCACTCCGATTCGAGAGGATTACTATTTTTTCTATCGCTCAGGTTAGATCCCAAGAGTATGCTTTAATATGAGCTCCTCTGTTACTCATTGACTTACGTAGATGGAATGTTTCCACATAACTTTAGAGACACTTATGCCTCGCAGAAAGTCGGGTATACAATATCGGCATTCTCCTCTTATGAAACCTAGTGGAAACCATTGGTCATCTTTCTCTTTGACAGCCAAAGAACACTTACTGATTATAGGCTTCACCCAGTTGGCGCAGAGCGTGAGCGCGATGATCTGTTTATGGCTGAGAGAAGTCATAGCTGTATTTTCTTAATTCGCCACAATTTACCTCAAACCAGCTAGTTTCTATTCATTAAGACACAAACCCGTTGTATGTCTCTCGTCCCGACGACACTGGGCCGTGTCCATCACACGTCTGTTTACAAGTCCCTTCGATTATGTGGTATCTTGTGACCTACCGCCAATTTTTGTAGCACTGCATTTGGGACATTTTTCACCCCATTACTAGTGCGTGTCTTGGTGGCGATTTTTCCAAATTTATCGATGGTTAGAGGTCAGACCAACTCAATCTATTTGCTTTCTTGGTTGGGGGGGGAGGCGTTGGATTGGCACCTGTTTTTGTTAGACCGGATGGTTGTCATCTTCTTATCTGCCTTGCGGTCAGGATTTTAAGTCAACGACTTTGTTTGGGTACCCAAATCGTTCTGCCACTCATGTTTAAGCGCCTTGACACTATCCCAGCCTACCTGCGAAACTCTCTTGTAGACTCTCTGCATCATGAGTCCCTTGGTTGTGTGCAGGCCTACGGGAAACTCTTCCCTAGGCTCATCAGCACAACTGGAGCGCGCTCTGACTACCCGATCTTGCTCTCCCTCTAACCTCGTGCTTTAACTAATTGTGGATGATTCTCTTTTTATTCATTTCTCCTTGGATCGAAAGTCAGTTTGGTAATGGAACATCAAATTTGGAGTATGCAGGCGTACTGCTCTTATCGAGTCGGATGCAGCCGCTATACAAGCGCCATTGAGTAGACCGACGCACAGCGCTACATACTTTGGCATTAGATTTGAACGTTCAAGATCCAGAGCAATGTCACGAAATCGAGTTGATTTACCACAGATTGATAACCGAATAATCGCTCGGAGTGGTCTTCCGGTTCATGTATCCATACCGCCTCTGGGGCTCACATCACCAAAGAAGTTATTGCATGCATTGCTCATTGTCATATGACTTTTCAAAATCTGAGTCATTTATGGAGACGCTAGAATGTCAGAAAATTGGTTGAGAGGAGGATTTGCAACACTGCGATACTGCCTATGTCACTGCATAGATCGGAGCCCCGGCCGCTACACTCGAATATATTACGACATTGGCCACCTTCTACCACCCGTGCCTCTAAGTATTGCTCATATTGGGTGTGAGAACCGAGCGAGTAGTTCTGATCTTCGCCGTCCAGGCAAAAAAGAAAGGCACCAGCAGTACGTCGGTACACAGTACCGACACTTCGCTGCCGCGCAACTACCACCGGTCGCATGTGGGCTAAGGATACTGCGAGGGTCGCGCTGCCCCTACGCAATCTCAAACCCGCTCCGTCAAATTGCATGAATACCTAGCTACCTTTAGGCTACGTGCCGTCCGGAACTTTACTACGGATCTTTTGTTGCCTCCGCTGACTTGGTCATGCGATTCCCCTGTCTGAAAGCCGACTGTCTCGGGACATATCTAATTGATACAGTTTGTTGGTTAGAACATGAGGTTACTATTCAACAACACGGTTAAAGCGTATGAAGAAACTCACTGAATGTCTTAGTCAGCTTGACACTTGACTTTTTCCCGGATGGGGTCCTCGGAATCAGCCACATCAATGGTTGAAACGGCTTGGTCACGGAGTTACTGACGCCGTTGCATTCGCTCCCGGGTCTCCATCAGGCGTCTTTATCTCCATCTCATTCTTTTTGACTGATATTATCAGTAGTAATGTTATTATTTTTGGTGACTGGCAACTGGATCCTCCTCGCCTCAGTACACGGATCAGGGTTGGACAACTGAACTGACTGCTCCCAGCCCACTTGCAACCGTCATTGGCATTCTGACACAGCCCGCCTCAGCCTACATACAGTTTCAAAGGGTCGGCTTATCTGCTGCATATAGCAAACGGACCGGCGAAGGCATACCAACAATTATATTTCTCTTCTTTCTGTTATGCCTCTTTCCTTCGCACTCCTGATCCCCACTATTAACATGCCCAAGCTTAAATGGTAGTGACGGCGGTACAACTAGGGTTCTTCCATCCTTAAGTATACTCCAACGGTTCCCCGCCCTTACTCCTTTCACTAACAGCCTCTTGCCAGATCATATTGCTTTGTTTTTCATATATTCAGCATCCGCACTCCAAGACAGTTGGCCCAACAGCCTGTACATTGGTCACCCTGATTGTTGACGTGCATTACTTGTCCGAAACTAAGACCGATGATCGTCACATGGTTATCGAACTAGCTGCACCTAGCGTCTCGTGTCGTCGTTGAATTTGCTTATCCGGGAGCTCTGCCACAACAGCCACAAGATATCGTTCTCAACTTCAGAGCTGAGTCATCCATGTTTGAATGAGTTCCCATGAGTAGCCGTCTAAGTGTAACTCGTGTTTAGCGCTGGACTCTGTCTATTTGTTATTGTTTCTCGTGGCCCCACCGACTGCAACTCTGGTGCTGTTGAGGGCACCTTTTACCACAAATCAAACACGCTTCTTAGCCTTGTCACAGGTTTAGCTATTGTTCTGGTTGCAACTGAGCTTCCTGAGCTCATCAGATGCTCACCTAGGTGGCTAGTATAAGCTGAAGCCCGTGCTCACCGACCATAACGAACACTTATTACATCTGTGCCTCGTGCATCGACTGTTTTTTAGCACTACGGCCTTCAGGTGCAGTGGTCACCAGTGTGACATTTAGCGTCCCTTGGTCGCTCTTCAACGATGGACCCACATAGGTCTTAAGGTTCAGGTGGGGTTGTTCCACGCATACTGACAAAGGTGCCTGGTGTGTCAAAAGGGCTCCAGAAATATAGGAATGAGGCCAACAGGCAATTACCGCTTCTTTTTCCTTCTGTTCGACATCGCTGGTCCTATGCGCCATTGAGATAACCAAGGACAGCACCAGAGCACAATGCGGAACATCATCCGGCTTATTAGGCATAGCATTTTCGAGTGACGTTCGGATGACTCCGTGGTACCGGATCTCTTCGTGCTCAGCTTATGCAGACTGGGCTACGGTCGGTTAGTTTACAATCTCCACCGGAGCTGATGATCGCAAGGGCTCGTACTCCCAATATTTAATGACAATGGGGAAATCGTCTGCAAAGTTTTCACCCACGTGTTCGGACAGTCACCGAAAGTAGTGATCGTAGCCAACGGGTGAATCGATCATAGTGGCGCGGGAGGTAGTCTCATTTTTGTAGTAACCATAGGGGTAACAACTTGATGACAGTAATTGAAAGTGACTGGCCTCAGCTCTCATCCGTTGCTGTGTCGCGAAACGGGTATCTCGATTGAGATCATTGCTAGTCGATTTCTGACGGCCGATGGCAGTGTATCGATCATATGTTCACTCTGCGATAAATGCCTGAACCATGTCGCACATAAGACACGCCGATGGTCACTGTCCATTGATTCACCAAGCGCGTTCGACTCATTCAATCGTCCTCTCTTGTTCAACCTATTTGTTCGAAAATTTATTCCCATAAAATATGTGCGCATTTTGCTTGCACGAACACTACTGGTTACATCGGAGTCTACGGTGAATATCTAGATGCCTTTATAACAAATGTTCACCAGGAATGTTTAGTTTCCCAGTTTGCTTTCGCCTTTATGGTTGATTCCATCGTGGACTGCTCCTTTCAGCAACTTCACGGTACGGACATTTTAGCATTACCCAATAGTTAGACAACTTCATGCGTCTTACTGTTCGACGATAGCGAGACGGCAGTCAACTATGGATAAGCTCCTCGGAATGGCGTCTTGCATGTGCTCCACACTCAAAGTGAAAAGTGTTGTGGGACTACCAGTCGCTTGATACTCCGTTGATTCCTGATAACGAGGAAATAGAGGCATCTGATCATCTTGGCAGCTGCATTAGAAGGTATACGCGCGCGTGACTTTCCTTGTGCACCTTCTTCCCAATCTTCTCCCTAACCGCCACACACCATTATTACTAGAATTACATTCGTTCCCAAAATTCCTTTTGCACCGTTTTCTTTCGGTCTGTTTTTGTGCCCTCCACTTTTATCCGCCTACTTCACAGCATTATCTTCGACCGACAGACTAGCTTTTCCTGTGAAATATTTTCCATTCGATTTTCTTCACAAGGATTGCTGTTTTGAAACCCGGGCTATTCCCTATACTTCGTTCTCATACGAATTCTACACCTGTTTTTTTCGCCTCAGTTGGCATCGCCAAAGCTTTTGCCGTTATTACCCATCTTTTCTTACACTCATACGTTTCTATTATTTTTCTTCGTATTCTACGTCCGCTGTTCTTACTTCCGGTGGGTTCAGCATTCGTCAATTGATGGGTGTTCAGCAAGTCGCACTTCATACGATGTTGGACGACGCACTTCATAGGCCTTTATCCTCTCAATCGTCTTACTTCGCCGTCTCTAACGCTTACATAACCTATGCCGATGGTCTTATCATCTTTACCTGGGACCGGATGGCCTTGACAGTTTGTCTTCAAACCTTTCATGACTACTTTCCTATTATTC